TATTTAAAGTCAGAATAGTAATAGAATTACAATGCCTGTAAAATTAGTACCAAATACAAAATATCTAATATTAATATGTATTTTTAAAATATTAACAAAGATTTCTGTGTTTGGGATATTAATGCATTTACTTTGTCTTTCCTCGGCTGACAGTTCTCTTATGGTTGATGTTAGAACAAGATCGTCACCATGGAGAGATTGTATTGGCAACATGCCCATCGCGCCAATGCCTACATGCTTCTGAGAATTGATCTGGTTTCCACTGACTCTTGGAGGTGGGAGTGCCAAGGGAATTCTGGCTGACTCAGACCATTTCCAAATTGAAGGGCTTTTAGGCGGGTAATTTCTGATCTGCTTATTGGTTTGAATTAACTCCACTGCATTCTTATACATTAATTTGTTATTGTTGTTTTAAGATCCTTACTGCTACCTCAGACCTACCCCATATTAGACTTAACTCCTTAGATAAGTGAACAAGGAGTGGACAAGAGCAGAACCTCAGAACCTAGCCCAAATGGAAATCATATTACCACACACTGATAAAAACAGTATCGACATCTCAAACCATTAGGCATGTTATCATAAGATTATCTATTTGTGGTCTGAGTAGTACTATATATTCATCTTCTAGAGGGAAAACAAAAAAGGTTAGCACAAATTGATATTTTAATCTATCTCCCTTCACCTCTATTCCAATCAACATTAAGGGGCATAGTAGGAAAAAAGATATATGATACAAATCATCACGTCAAAAATTCATGCTTGAAATTTGCTTTTAAGAAGACTCTTGAAAGTAGACCAGTGACATTTTGATTACCTTGGAATAATTTCTATTGTACACTCTTCACCAAAACCTTAATTGTTATAAAAAGGATAAAGCTGGCTGCGTAGAGAACTTACATCATGATGTGGTTCAGCACAAAGAAATGGAAAACAGCTATAGCATATGGCTATGTTCTTCTTATAATTTATATTTTCATTGAAAAGTATATTTTTGAGAACATAAAATTTCTAAATTTTATGTTGAATGGAGAAAATGAGAAACTCGTTAAAATATAATTTGAAATATTTTGGAAGAACTTGAACTTCTACTTTGGTTTTTATTCAAAAATACCACAAAATTGTCAATAACTGACATTAGGAATTTTATCTACCAGTTTTCTAATACTTGGTTAAATCTCTATCAGACAACAAAGAACACTATTAGGAAGGTGTGAAATCCCCTAAAGTGTGAGTAGAGTGATGAGCTATACAGAGTACCCTAATTGCTTCTAGGAATCCTTTATGGATGGATCATCTAAATAAAATTATCTCAAGTTATTTTATTCCATCCCTGTCAGCTTCTGAAATTAGACCAATATTCCATGCCTGTCACTCAGCTTCTGTAACTAACTTTTTTTAAAGTATCCTAAATTTACCAACTTCAAGGCATAAAGCTGACTTTTACTTTTTGAATTGAAATATTTACTGAAATAATTATAAATTCCTAAGCCATTGTAAAGAATAATACACTTTTATATTATTAAAAAAATAATATAAAATAAATATATTTTATATTATTATAAAGAATAATACCCTTATACACTGAAATCCCTTATACACTATTCCGTTTACCCCAATAAATCTTTTTGCATAATTCCGGTATACCGTAACCAGGATATTGACATTAATAAAATCCGCCAGTTCTATTCAGATGTTCTTAGTTTCACTGTACTCGTATGTGTGTACGTGTGTGTGTGAAAGAAATACTATATATTTTATCACCTGGGTGTGTTCATGTATCTACCATAATTATGATACTAAATACCATAAGGATCTCTTTTTTAAAAAAACTAAAATTTACCCTTTTATAGTCACACTCACCTTCTTCCTATCTCCCCCTCCAAAGTGCCTTTCCTCTCCCTCACCCCCAAATCCTGGCAACCATTAATCTACACTTTTAAAAGTTTGTTTCATTAAAACCCACCCTTGAAAGCTGAGCACAGATCTGAGACATCCAGATGGAAAGGGGGAGGTGAAGAAGCAGAGGTGAGGCAGAGTGGTGCCAGGGGGGCTAGCAGAAAGGACAGTGGACCTTGGTGAAGGACTGTGGGTACCCTGATGTGGGAGTGCTATGCTGACTACACTCGCCTGGGGAAATCCAAGTTGTTACATTTACCAATAGTCCATTTCCTCTTATTGCTGCATGTGGCATTCCACGCAATGTATTTGCTACAGTTTGTTTATTCCCCAATTGAAAGATACCCAGGCTGATTCCAGTTTCCAGCTACTATGAATGAAGCTGCTGTGAATACTTGAGTACAGGTTTTTGTGTGAACGTGAATTTTCATCTTTCTGGGAAAAATGCCCAGGAATGCTATTGGCTGGACTGTGCAATAGTTAGAGGTTTAATTTTTAAAGAAACTGCTAAATTATTTTCCGGAATAACTGAAGAATTTTACACTCCCATCAGCAGTGTATGAATAATCCAGTTTCTTCACATCTTTGCCAGCATTTGGTGTTGTCACTGTTTTTTCTTTGCTCATTCTGATTGTGGTGTAGGATATCTCCTTGGTATTTTAATTTGCATTTCCCTAAAAATTAATGATGTTGAACATCTTTTCATGGAATGACGTGCCATCTTGTATATTCTCCTTGAACAGAGCATAGACAAAAGTGTCTGGTTATGTCTTCTGTCTATTTTCTAGCTGGATTGTTTATTATTTTACTCTTGAGTTATGAGAGTTCTGAATACCAGGCTTTTTTGTCTGATAGGCAATTTGAAAATATTTTTTCCAATATCTACTTTGTCTTGTTTTCTTAACAGGGAACTTCTCAGAAAAAGTTTTAAATTTTGATAAAGTTTATCAATTTTCACTTGTATGGAAAGTGCTTTGGTACCAAACATTTTCTCCTGTCTTTTTCTAAGATTTACAGTTTTACATTTAAGTCCATGATTCATTTTGATTTAATTTTTGTGTAAATAGAGGTTTAATTTGGATTTTCTTTGTTTTCAGTTGCTTATTCAGCTGCCCAACCTGTTTGTTGAAAAGGCAATCATTACTTCTTTGGATTTGTTTTGTCCCTTGTTCAAAACCAGTTGTGCTTATCTGTATTAGGTTTATTTCTGGGTTTTCTATTCTGTATTACTGACTTACACATATCCCTTTGCCAATACCACAGTCTTGATTACTCTAGCTATATAATATGCTTTAGTATAAGGTAGAGTAATTCCACTTTATTCTTTTTTATCATGATTTTAAAGCTATTCTAGGGCCTGTGGCTTTCCATATAAATTTTAAAATAAGCTTGTCTGTGTCTACAAAAAGCTTTGCTGGAATTATGATAGGAGCTACATTAACCATATAGATGAATTTGAGGAATATTGACATTTTTATTCAATTGAAACATCAAACCATGAATAATTTATATCTCTCCATTTAGTTAGATCTTCTGTGATTTCTTCTATCAGTATTTTATAATGTTCATCTTTTAAGTTTTCTACATATCTTCTTAAGCATCGAAGTATGTCTATGTAAGTATTTACTTTTCTTTTTCTTTTTTTAAATATTTATTTATTTAAGCACAAAAACAGGGGTACAGGCCAGAGGTGTGGGGATGAGGGAGGATTCACCAAAGACAGAGAGGGGAACAGAACAAGCAGACTGACTGAAATGCATTGCTGAGGAGAGCAGTGGGTGAGACAGGAGAAGTCTGCTGCGCCATGTGGGTAGCTCCTTGGCCGGCAGGGGGATCAAACTTGTGCTGCAGAGGCTGTGGATAGCTTCACAGTGCTGTGCTTAACCTCTTGCACCACCAGGGAGGCCCTGTAAGTATTTAATTTTCTTAGGAGCAACTGTAAATGGTGGTGTGTTCTTAATTATAGTTTTGCTTGATAGTAACATAAATAAATGTGATTAATCCTTAAATGTTGATCTTTGTACCTTCTGATCTTGCTGAATTGCCTCACTAGTTCTGGGGGTTTGTAGGGTTCTATTTTATAGATTTCCTGGAATTTTCTGTGTGGACAATCATGTCACCTGCCAATGGAGTTTATTTTATTTCTTCCTTTCCAAACTTCATGCCTTTTATTTCTTTTTCTTGCTTTATCACACTCAGAACTTGAGTACTATGTTGATTAAAATGATGAAATTGGACATTCTTGCCTTGTTCCCTATCTCAGCCTTTCACCATTAGTATATTGTTAGCTATTGGTATGTTGCTCATACTCTTTATTTATTATTCATTGAGAGTTGTGGTCATGAAAAGATAATAGGTTTTTGCACCCAAATGTTTATCCTGTGTCAACTGATTATAATCTTATGACTTTTCTTTTTTAACTTGTTGATGTAGCAAATTACATTGATTGATTTTTTTATTATTTAACCAAACTTGGACACCTAGAATAAGTCCTAATTGGTCATGGTATATAAATTTTTTAGCATATTTCTGGAATTGGTTTGCTAATATTTTGCTGAGGATTTTTGGCTCTATGCTTATGAGAAATGTTGGTCTGTACATTTTTGTTTTGTTTTGCTTTCTGGTGCTGCCTTAGTTCTGATTTTGTTATCAGGGTAATACTAGTCTCATACAATAAGTTTGTAGTCATCTCCTTCCCTTCTGTTTCTTGGGAGACATTATGTAAAATTAGTATTACTTTCACCTATAAAAGCATAGCACTACTGGTCCCTCCCCACCACCACTTTACCTGTTGCTTTGGTGTTTCTGTGTGGGAGAGCACAATGTTAGCTCTGTGAAGACAGAGACTTTCCAAACAAAGCTACTGGGTCTCCTTTGCTACCTCTGCCTGCCTACATTGGTATTTCTCAGTGGAAAAAAGGTATCTCTGGTCCAGCAGAAAAGGAGAGTACGTTCTTGGGTCATTGGTTTCTCATAATGTATCCAGTCTCCCCTGCTTGCTGGTGGTGTCAGGTTCATCTAATGTTGTCAGAGACACTCCATTGTGATCCAGGGAAGGGGTGGAGCCACGGGCTGCCTTCTATTACTAGGTTGAAAGTCAAGGAACTCCGAGTCTGAGTGGCCTTCCTCTGTTGGGTAAGAGCACATGACACACCTGCAGCTTTCATGTTGCTACCATTCTGGAGTCCCAAACCCCCTTTTACTAACCACATTAGTAAACCATGTTTCACATTTCTTCCTTGGCTGTCTTTCACACCATTTCCAGCATTTATACTTGTACTTTGCAGGGAGGAGTAGGGAGATACAGTTCTAGGCCACCTTGTCCTGTTTAGAAGTGACCTTTACTTTTGGTCATAGAGGCACAAGGACTGACTCAGTTCCAGAACATCTTGAATTACTGGAATTCTCTGTTAGTAGGCAAGGGTTTAATATGGAGATGAAGAAGAGGAGAGAGAACCATACATCATTGGTATTGATCTGAAGCGAATACGGCAGAAATAGGCAAAGAGGAAAAAAACCAACAATATAAAACAAGGAACAAAGTTTTTTGTTTGTTTTTTGGTTGCTGTTGTTGTTTTATAATAGCTTCTCTCCAACTGGTATGACCATTCCGCTTCATGTTTTTAATATTAAGTAGTTTTTTTTGTACTTAACAATTTACTAAGAGGATTGTGACATTTGTGAAGCTTGGAGAGCAACTGGACAGTCCAATTAAACAATAGATTAAAAAAGAAGGTTCAGTCAAACTACTGGGTACAGAACATTGTACTATCCATTAGTCATAGATGAAATGAGATATCAGGGTGGTGTTAGCAATAATGTGTTTGTTCTTTATCTTACCACCTTTTCTTCTTTCTTTACTTTTAATCATCATTTATAGAAAAGACATTTTACTTTCTAAAGAAGCATAATGTGGATATTCCTCCCTTGAAGAGAAACTGTTTTGATTCCGTATAGTCATTATTGATCAACTTCTGCCTGTGAACATGAAACCAGATAAAATTTATTGAAACTCCTTATTGAAATTTCATTTAAATAAGCCACCGTTTGAGATTCTTAAAGAGAGTTATACATGCTTTAGCTGAGGTAGATAGCACTGAAATGATAGCTTTATTATGGTTTGCATAGACATAGTTTATATTTGCTATTTATGAATCCAGCCCAGTTACTACATCACTGATAACTTTTAAACTCTCTATTGGTGCATTCTAATTTACTTTTGAGAATGATGCACCGCCTTTAGGTCGAGTAATTCCATTTGCAAACAATGACCTACCAGAAGGAAATTGCTATGATCAACTCTTCTTAGTTAAACTATACAATAATTGTTTTCATAACCCAGTTCAGTATGATGTAGTACAAGAAGTACTTTAGTTATACTCATAACCAGGTAGCATTCCCATAATATTAAGGAACAAATTTAAATCACTACAAAAGCCAACTGAATTTAAAGTAATTTTGCTAAGTATTACTACTCTTAAGAAAATGTTCATAATGGCAACTGTACTTTGGTTCTAAAAATATCATTATCCCACTCAGAATATACTAGCAGCAGTAGCAACAGAAGTTCAACTGGAAATTTTGTGAAGAAAAAAAATACTTCAGAAATAAATGCCTGCAAAAGAGCTGCAGTTTCTTTTACTTAAGTAGGACATTTTAGAAATTGTGCTATACTTACTATTTTTTGTCCTTACTATTTTTTGAATCACAGAAGAATGTTTAGATTTTTAAATGACATGAAGAGGAAACCTAGCGGTTATAAGAATTTGTGAAGTGAAAAGCACAGCTAAAAGCTATCTAACATTGATTGTATACTGTCAATTACTGAAGAAATAAATTACTTTATTTAGTATAGTTGATATGAATATATTCTGGTAAGGTGACATTATGTGCCATACTTTACACATGAATTAACTTTTCAAAGAGCTAAGTAACATAACTTTCTATTCCAGATGAAAAAAACCCAATCTCTTCTTGCTTAGTCTTTCCTCATGATATTCAAGAAATTATCCAAAGTTTGGTAGATGCCAGTTAGTAGTTTATGACCTCTTGAGAGCAGGGATCCAGTCTTACTTACAGCTTCATAGTCCTGGAACTCGGTGCCTCGCTTGATATATACTGACATAACGGTGTGCACAATGAATTAATAGAGAAATGCTATGTGAACTAATATTTATATACGAAGCACTGCACTAGAACATAATACTCAAAACTGGTTAACAATCTTTTGGTGACAAAGTAGCAAAAAATGTAAATCAAAATCTAGCTGAAGTAATAAAGAGAATTCACTGGTTTGTATAATCGGAACGCTCAGCAGTTAGTGAGGTTTCAGGTACAATTTTGACATTACTGTGGCTGAATTTCTCTGCAACTCTCTCAGTTTTGCCCTTTCATGTTCAAATTCAACTTCGGCTAACTTCTTTCATGGTAGCAAAATGGCTCTAGTCATTCCCTGACTCACATCAGCACATCACATCATACCTGAGGTGCAATAAGGGTGCCTCTTACAGCAGGTATCTTAGAAGAGTTAGTATTCTAGAACACCCCCCTACCAGAAATGTTTCATTATATGGCATTTGCCCAAATTGGATGAAATGATGGACTTGAGGCCATCAAAGCCAGCTCTTAGATTCAGGATTGAGTTTTCAGCCTTTCAAAACTGCCACTTGCTGGGAAATATGGGATTTTCTAAAGAAAATGCTGGGTAGACAATTAACATGAGTCCACTAGACATGTTAATTCCAGTCAGGCTCAGAAAGTTTAACCTGCCTGAAGTGGACAAATGTTAAAAACTAGATTCTAACACTAAAGCTCGTAAGTATTCTTTGCACTTTAAATTGTATAAAGAGTTCAGAGAAACTACCAGATAATGTAAAATATCATTCTTGTACCAAGATTAGAAAACTAAAACTGAAGTACTCTTATCCTAAGGGAAAATGTAATTTAAATACAGCGTCTTTTCCTCCCCAATTCCTTCCATCCTTACTTCTCATTTCTCTAACATATCAGAATCCTCCCATTTTCCCAATCCCAACCAAATGTTCCCTGTCTCCAGGTAGTGATTCATGCTCCAAAATTATCTTCTCCTCTTAATTCTCATTGAATTTCCATTCCTTTAGGTGTTAGATACAACATTTCAACATTAACAATAACATAATGCATTGCCACTTCCAGAAATATTTGCTATTTATATCGTGACACTGCTGGACACCCCACACACACCCCACACCCCCCCCACACACACACACACCTTACCCTGAAAAACCTCTCCAGGAGGAATTTAAAGGGGAAAAGATACTGAAAGATTGGTGAGAATTTTGTTGTAGACAAATGTTCCCAGAAATCACACTCAGAAATTGATTGCTCCCATCACCTCCATGAAGGGGTTACCTGGCATGCCAAATTGTCTTTTTCCTAAGCAAGTTGTCTTTTTTCCTGAGGAATTCCCATTGGCTAATCCTCTTCTTTTTCAACCTCTATACATTTTCAAGTGCTTTTTTATACTTAAAAGTTATTTGACTGATGCTTCTTATGAGGTGGTGGTTCATTGTTCTCTTCTCTACTGCACTTAACTTCATTATTATCCCCACTAACAAGTGGCTTCCAGAATTCAAATTGCTTTCAAATGTGACTTTATCGTGCCCATCCTCTAAAATAAGCAGGTTTCACTTGCTTACAGCCTTGAATACACAAGTATTGACAATGGAAGACTGAAAGCCTCATATGCCAAAAGGTCTCAGAGTCATCTTTATGAGAGTGACAAAATATGGGATTTATTTTTAAAAATCAAATTTTTATTTTTTTATTTATTCATATTTTACATCATTGTTCATTTTAAACAATGTTTGCTTTCCCCACCCCGCCTCAGGTGTAGTCCCCATAGAGTTGTCCTTCCCCAATGCACCCATGCACCATCACCTCAGTCCCCTCTGCTCCTCCCTCCCTCCCTTTGACCCCTCTCCCTCCTCCTCCCCTGCAGGATGTCTCTGGTTTATAATTGTCTGTTTTTGTTTTGTCATGTTGTGTTTTGTATTGTTATTTAAAAAATCAAATTTTTAGCATAGTTGAATTCTAATTTCCTGAATCTGCAGATGTACAGTACCTAAGCTATGACATGAGGCCAGCTGTAGTGTGGACTGGTGAGAACTGCATCAAGGGTTGTGTTGGACCCTGCTGTGAACCAGAAGTGGCCTCGGGGTTCTAGGTTGCTGACCCTGACTTTCATGCATGTAGGCCGAGTGAGCGGAGTCAAAAAGTAACTCTGACATTATATTCTTGACATTATCCTCAGCCCACTCTCCCCTTTTTCCATTACAGTCTCAACCCCTAATGGATTTTAAAAATCAGCTTTGAGAAGACGGTATTGTGACAAACTCTTCTGTTAATCTACACCTTGAGATTTCATTCTAGCCCAGGCTTTGCCATGTTACTGAGTTCCATTCTTCTTGTTGATGATACATTATCTTCTTGATAATGTCAAGAATATGGCGTTACTCTCATCAGCTTTACCAATGTTTCCCCAGCATGGCCATCACAAACGTGGTTGCCTCTTAGCTGCCTAGCTCGTAGGACATGTCCCCTTCCTGCCCACCACCCGCGCACAAAAATGCTGCTCTTTTCATGTTCTGAGTTGTTCAGCCACTGCAGAATCAGCCCCCACACAATAACTCTTCAAGTACTTATTCTGTCCTCCTTAGGATCTGATATATTAACTTCTGTTGTTTTTCCTAATAGAAAGCAACATTTTACATATTTACAGACTTTTTCCCAAGTTGGCTTTTAAAAGGCCTTTAATGATCTTTGCAAGACAATGTCACAATTGTTGAAATTTTGAGTAATTTTTACTGCTAGTAGAATGAGGTTTCTTTTAAGGAAAGAAAAAAAGGGTACTATAAAAATCAGGGAATTTCAGATGTGGGTGGCAGCTCACTTCGACATATTCATTTAAGCTCAAATTAACTTATGGGTGTGATTCTGTCTGCCAACATTTATAGAGCATTCTCCACACTCATAATGTGATAGTTAGCACAGTGGGGGTAGGGAACACGCGGTGTGGGTGGTGGTGGTGGGAGGGGGAGATTCAGTGTTCCCATTAAGAGCTCCCGCTCACCGTTTTAGGCTGAATATAAAGTATT